TTTCAAGCTAAAATAAGTCTTGAGAAGGACTTGAGGGTAGAACTGCCATCAAACATTTTTCCAGCAACTGGTATATTATGCCAACTTATATGGCATATTTGCATACCATAAGTCCATATGGCAGCTTTTATGGAGCTGCCATATAGCTTTTTGTGGAATAAATAATGACAATGAGTTAATGAAAAAAAAATTGAACTAATTTATTACAAAATTAGTTAAAAAAAGTAGTTATTTAACAATAGTTGTAATAAAAAATCAAAACATTCACAATTTTTAAATTTAATAGTAAAACTTATACTTTATTTGTATAACATTGTAAATCTAAATGTTTAGTTCTATCTTTCGTTTTATATTCGATGAAGAAAGCACGCAAAGTATTCCAATAAACCACTCTTGAGTAGAAATCGTAAGTTGCCATACTCAACGTCTTCTTGGTTGATTTGTAGAGTGTTTTCATGCATTTCTGGCCTGTATTCTTTATCGTATACTTGTCAACGATATAATTCTCGCATACTGCTCCCAACTCCCAGTTGGGTTGATTGGTGTTTGTTTACACAAAGAATTTTTAAATCTCCACTGGTATTTAATCGTTTCTTGCAATTATCGAGCCTTAATGACCCCGTTAGGTTGTTATTCTTTTGTAATTATCGTCGGTTAAGAAAACAAACCGGGAACGATTTAGATTGTGATTTCCGTCGGATTTCCCATTTCCTTTTTTTGTATTTCCTAAAATAATTCATGTCCATGCAGATATCATTACAATCACAAATTCAAATGCATTCGATGCGTATACACATCAAGCACGTTTGACCTAGTTTTTGTTTTATGATTTCGAGAATTCACAAATTCGCACGTCACAGAGAGACCGTCACATTGTTTGCAGTCGAATAATCCCGCAAAATTTCGATCTCTATACAAACGCGTCGAGGTCTGTTAATTTTAATTTTTATGCTCGTAGCGGATTATATCTAGCGAATTATCCAAAACTCGATGACGAGCAAAACACTTTCATTGAAAAATTACAATAAAAAACAGAAATTTTTTTTTTAGAAATTATTGAATAGAATTTTTCACAACTTTGCAATTTAGAAAGTGTTTTATTTATATAAATACATAAAGCGTTGAAATGTTTTGATTGGAAGTCTTAAACTAATATTGATGTTTTCGTGTGTGGATTTAAAATAAAACTTATACAATGTATGATAAATTCAAAAGATGTCATTTATATATGTTGACGTTGTTAAATTTTCTTTTTGTATATAGACTCAATTAAATCTGGTTATGATAACAGTTTCATAAGTGTTGTGATAGGATGTGTAGTACGCACGTGAAACGTGCTAACATCATGACACGATTTCGAAGAGATAAGAACCCTTTTTACACGAATTTGTTTGTCCTAGGTCGGATAACGTAATACAAAACACGACGTTGCTTGTGTAACGTCAGAAATCCAATAATCGATTCAGTTTGTATTAAGTTTCTTCAATCATCTTGTAAATGACATCGACACCTCAGACTTGAAAAAATATAAAAAAACAACTTGCTTCAATACAGGCTTATCGATGTTCGAGAAAATTCCATTTCAAATCTTGAAAAATAAAATAGGGTATTAGGATTGAAAAGAAAAAGGAATGTATTCATCAGTTTTAAATATAAACCATTTTAAGTAGCAGACGTTTTGTAACGATCGGGTTCGGCGTGATGTTGAAAATCTTTTAATCAACCGAGGAAAATACCCAACCCACCGACATTGAACGGATGTATTTTTTTACGTTTCCTGTGGCGCCGTGTCATTTTCTGCCAAGAAATAACAAACTTTTAAAAGCCTGAATATTTTTGAATTTTACACAACAACTCAATTTCCAAAAATTATATTTAAATATATTATTTACAAATTGTATTCATACAGTAAAATCTTGATATCATCGACTAATATGGGGAAGAGAGTGTCTGTTATAGCCAAAAGTCAATTGTATAAAAAATTTTTAATTTACACTTTAAATTGTTTGAATGACTAATTTTAATGTACATAAATTTGGACAGCTATCTACAGCGGTGCGTTCAGTCTACGCGGCCTTATATTTACACAGCTAAAAGGCCCGTTCGTGACGTCACTCATAAATAAGCAACCACTATTTCACACATTGAGCTAGCAAATACAATCTAACAATGACTTGACTACTTCTTTTGCACGATCTGAGCGCATACGTGGGGGTGTGTTAATATTAAGTAAAACCGACCTTAAATGCAGTACTTTGGAGTGTGTTAATGAATTATATGTGGAATTGCATTGTGAATTAACTGCATCGCGTTGTGAATCATATGATGTTGTGAGAGTCTGTTTGTATAGGTCTCCATCTGGAGATTTTGATTTATTTTACACAATAATTTGTGTGTCAGATTTGGCACGTCTGATGGTGCTGCAGTGAGGTTGTGTGACGTCTTCAGTTCCTACGGCTTTATAAGAACCATAAACCAGGCAACTAGGTTGAGCAACTGCCTGGATAACATATTCATTAACTTTTCCTTTAATCTTTTTGAAACAAAAATCTATGACACTTATTTATCGGATCATTGTGCCCAAGGCATTGTTGTTCCTATCCATCCTGTAAACCGTGTAAGCAATACTTCTAGAGTAACCCGACCAGTTACTAGTATTGATAGTGTGATTTTTTTGATACTTTTGTCAATTATGGCTGAAATATTTAAGCTTTTTCATGACATTTTTCTCAAGTGTTTCACTGCTAGCTATCTTGAACGTAAATGTACAGTTAGAACTAAAGATAATAATATCACTTGGTTTAATGATTCCCTGAGACAATTAAGATTAGGGCTTCAGTTTGTTTCGGAGTTTTATAAAATGCGTAAAACTGGAGATTCGGCTAAACTCGAATGTTTCTAGTTCTAGGTCTAGTGTTAGTTCTACTTGTTGAGGAATTTTCTACTTGAGGAATAACCCGATTTGGATTCTATCTACGACCACTAACATTTATATCTTAATTATACTGATGTTATATCGAAGTTTTACTGTATTTAAATCATTTACAACCCAACGATTAATTCAAAACAACGTTAATTACCTAGTTCTAAAATTATTTTACCTCATAATCGCGTACTGTTTAAAGAAATCGACACGTGTCGAACACGACCAACACCCGTTCCTATTCGCAACTAATTCTAAGACACAATTAAGAACTTTAATTAAACGATTTCACGTTCTTTACGCGAATCTACCACGTTCTTTGGTGATATTCTCGTGCGAAAGCTCGCCAAACAGTGTCGACCTCAATTTGTTCAAAGTAGGGGTGGAAACGTAGATGTAACGAGTGCACGTGCCGTATACTAGGTTGAGGTCGGCGATTTGATTGATTTATTAAAAAAGTAATTATTAAAAAATGTTTAAACGTGTCTTAGAAATCATTTTCTGTTTTGTTAAGATGCTAATCTTAACTTTTAATGATTATTTTGAAATGTTCTTTTTTTAAATAAAGATGGATTGATATCGTTTGATGTTACGTTGGGTAGGTTAAGAAATAATATTATTTCTACTGTAATTTTAGAAACAATTGTACCGACGAATTACGATTTGGCTATTCTGTGTATTTCTATAACATCTAGGATTCTGATTGATTTGTTTTCGGATTAAAGATTTAGTATTTGCAAGTAAAAAGAGTTTAAATCCTTTTATTTACGAAATGAAAATTCCTTAAAGATTTTGTAACTGAAAAAAATCCACTTTATTTATTTTTAAGTAGTCGTAACAAACAAATCCCAATTCTAATTTACTAGGATTTACCCTACTTTCTTTCAAGACTTGCACTTGCGGAAGACTTCATTGTGAAATTCTCTCTAAATTTCCTAATACTAATACCAACCAGACCGATCTAGTTTTCTTCCTCTTTTTTTTTTTGATGCGGCACTTCTTTATTCCTTGTGACTCCATCAAGGTGGAATTCGAAAATATTTATGTTTCCAGGTAAACATTTCACCTCCGGGTTCTGTTTCCCAATCATTCTTCGCGTGAGCAGCAAAACTAATTGTCCAGGTGCTCTCTTCCGGCTCTTCTTTTTTTCTAACAGATGATTTGGGTCAATGCCGGGTCTCAAAAAAATCGAGAAGTAGCTCCAAATTCCAGGACGGCCGTAATAAAACGAACCGCTAAAATAAACGCGAGAACTAGACGAAAACGGCGACGTCCGGGTTTGGTCACGTGGTTTAACCGGAAGCGATACAGACGGGACGTATTAATAACAATGCACACGCATTATCTGTTTTGTTAACTAAATTCCAACAGTTCAGAAAACGTGACTGTTTTTAGATTTTTTAAACTAATGAAGATCATTCGAAAAGCGCTTTGATGAAAATAAGCGAGGAAGCTCATAATATTACATAACAAATAGAAAGCGCGTTATAGGAAAAATCGCTTTTATTTTTTCCGGGTGATGAAATTGCATAAGAGCTTTCTATAAACACAGGTTCAAAGGGAGATGAGATGATCCGCGAACAATAAAATAGGAATGGAATTTTTTTTGAAACTTTTAGGAATGGTAAATACAAATCCACGTAAACTGTTTTCGTTTGATAATGTACCACGAACTAGGTCAATAAAATTTAACATGCATCTCAACGTGATATTCTTGTAAGGGGATTATTAAAATACGTAACATCAGATTTTGAAACCATAACAGGGAAAAATTATATCATACCCTTGACATATATTCCCCTAAAAGCGAACACCTCTTTTGGTAACAATCGATAGGGAGTTAATAAAATTAATGAAAGCATAAATAATACGATCCAATAACGAATTTAAATATACCATGTCTTTCTTGAACACATCTCTATATTGAGCCAATTCTACACCTATAAAACAACAATGTTATATAATTCTTATTGTAATAAAGATTATTAAACAGAAATATTTTGGATTTGACGTTATTATTTATTAACACGTTGACTGTCATTACTTTATTATATTATCAATCACGATGACAATTTCATTGAGGGATAAAGCTGAAAAATTTATTACTATTTTTAAAATATTTTGTAATCTTTAAGTTGTATTAAACAATTATTAATGGGAAATGTGGAAAGTTTTCAAATAAGACACGCATGTGGACCAAAAGGTTGCAGCATAAGATATACAGCCCTATTTTGGACGGGATTATTTATGGTAAATTTTTAAAAATGTATTTTTCTACAATGAAATGAAATGTCGATTTCTAATCCAAAAAGGGGGTTATAAATAATTGGACTGGACTATACTCAACTTTTTCCCTTTTTGTATAGCACTAAGACATTAACAACCTCAGAACCGTATCTTCCAAAATGGTCGAATTGAAGTCAATGATGTCTAAATTGTTGTATAAAAAATTGTTCTTCCAGGAAACTATAAATTTGGTGCAATTTAATTTTAAGTATTCTCCTATAAGTTCAAAAAGTTTTCATTTCTCTATTTTACACCGTTTTGGACAAATATTTTTTAACTTCATTTTCAAAAACGCGAAACTCAAATATTGATTAGGTTGGGTTGGGTTTGAGTAGTCAGCTGAGGTTCGATGATAATCAGCTTGCCCAAATACGTCGTGGCTCTGTCGAATATAGCAACAATTCTTACAAGGCCAGCGTTTAAATCCTATCAAGGCCAGCGAAAGTGTGCATGCTGGAGGTGGTGGCTTTAGCTAGCAGCGATTGTGGTTGCCATGGCTGTAATATCAGAGGAAAATTGTTGACTACGGCCCTGCCACGGTCATTACCTTGGCTTGTACGAATTCAGCATAAATCGAATAGCATTGGTCATTGTGGTACCCTCACCATTACGCGTGCCTAAGAAAACTATTTCCCAGGTTGCACCAATTTGAAACTCAAGAGTTAGAGTTACCGGATTTTCTGATGATGGGAAATTTGCAATCCCTCTTCGAGTTATACTTGGAAATATTTTTTCACTTCTTAGATGCTGCACCATCCGGGTTGTCTATATGAACGTGTGTTGCATAATGCAAGCAGCCATAATGTCTCAAGGCTGACTCCTAGTCGATACTAACAAATGCAGATTCACTATAGCATAAGAACTGCAATAAGACTTCTTCGTCTAGAGCACTTCCACAAAACGTATGGACCGGGTAAGTCTCGTAAGTGCAGTAGTGCTTTGTCTTGTAATCGACATGTTTCAGGAAGCCACATGATTAGCATATCCTGACTAACATGTGTGCATCGCAACAATTTATCGTGATCTACATGTCTCGTAGTAAGTGTATTGTCGTATCCATGATTGTAGAACCTCCTGAATTAAAACTAGGTAGTTTTCTTTAGTAAAACGTCTCCATAATAGTCCATCATGTACTTAATGTTGATATAGTACGCGAGCTTTCGCTAGAGAACTAGGTTTGTTGCCAAAGTCTTCTCCATGATGCCACGAGGATAAGATCATATAGATTTTTTGTAGTCGATATCACCATTTCTTGTAATGTTAATCGTTTGTACTTATCTTGTACGATCTTTTAACCAGAGAGTTAGCGAATTCTTTCATTTTTCTGTTCCAATATAACTCAGACGATAAAAGATATGAAAGAAAAAATAGGGTTGGGTTGGTACGTTTGTTGATCTCGTACAAGTCTTAAATTTGCCTTTTCTCTGATTTCGGCAAAAATACAGATCATGTGGTTTTTTGCATAGGTTTTAAAATGCCAATTATTTACCGCAGATAATTTATTCAGTAATCTTGGAATGGTTTATGGTTCCTTGGCTAAATCATCTTTGGGAGCCCTGTTAAATGATGTGTTAAGTTTTCTGTTTATGACCACCATAAACATATGAGCTGTTTATCTCATAAACAATATTCGAGAAATGAAACTCGATTTTATCAATATTCCAGAAATGTGGTTATATTAGAAGAGCTTTGAAAAGATATGGTTAGATGTGGTTTATGTTATGCATTATTTCTTCATTGATTTTTATTTCGCCCGTTTCAAGTTATCAAGGATGGAAGAACAATGAATATAGAAGTAATTATTTTGCTTCGATTGATTCACAACCTTTTAAAAAGTTTGTTAATTCTATAAAACTTAACTCATAGAAAGAAGTACCTGGATATAAAACTTAAGCAAGTTTTGTTACTCTAAATATATTTCTTTGCAGTTAATTCAGGCAATAATCGTTTTAATTAGTATAATTCCGTTAACTCCTGCACACGCCCAATACGTGGAACTAGAAAGACGATGTTATCGAGTTTTTTTCCTTTTTATGCTCATCCATTTAAATTTATACATAGCGGCTTTTGTTGGGATATATTTGGTATAAATTTGTTTAAATAACTTAGTTAAAAAAATATTACAGCAAAATTATTTTAGAGATTTAAAGAATTACTTCTTCCATGGTTATTAATCCAAGGATCATTTATAGTGCTTTTATTTTTAACAGCTTCTGTATTATTCATCATCATTGAATATTTTATATTTGTGGTGTTACTTGGACGTAAGTAAATTAATTTTAATAAGAATTGATTTGATTTCTTTAAAATTCAATTTCTTTTAGTTATATACCTTTATCATTGGGTTCTTGTGCATAGCTATTATCATAAATTAGCTTTGGATTTTGTGCCATCATATCTCGATGCAGATTATAGTGGATTTCTTTAAATCAAGAAATAAACAAAGAAAAAAATTGATTGTAATCAATGGAATCATTGATAACGCCATATTGTTTTCCTGGAAAAAATACCTTAAGTGTATTAACTAAAATATGTGCGATAACTCACTTGGTATTTGAAATGTTTAAATAAATTTTTCGACCTAAATAATTATTAATATTTCAGTTTATGTCTGCTGGTATGCTAACAATTACTGTGATTATTATTAGTTATTGGTTTGTTGATTCACATTTAGAAATATTAATAAAGAATTTGAGTTATATTTTGAACGTAAAAATAAACGAAACAAACACGAATCAAAGTAGTCAATATATAGCTATTTTATTATCGATTGGAATCTTTTTTATGGTATCGCTAATAATTAATATCCTCCATGTATTCGCTATATTTCAAGTGAACTTAATTTTGTGAATTATTTAATAAATTATTTTAATAAATATTTCTAGACAAAGAAAAAATTTATTCTTCCATGGTTAATCCTAAATGGGACATTAATGATTTGGATTAGTTTTATAACTTTCTCAATAACACTAATTTACCCCAAAGCCCTAATTGTTTTGATTATAATCCGTAAGATTTTTTTTTTAATAACTTTTATTAAAACTAAATATTGTTATCATTGCAGCTTTACTTTTGCCTTCATTCTTGATATCTCATAGTTATTATTTTGAGTTATCACAAATTATGGAAGATGGAACGACTTAAAAAAATAACAACAATGGAAAATATATCACAAATACAATCGTTTGGTTGTTCATATATTTTTTTTACAATTTTACAATTAATTTTGATTATATGATGATGATTAATTAATGAATGATTCACCGTCTCTTGCTCTAGCTTCTGCTGCTGCAAGCCTGAAGAAAAAGCTGTGGCCAACGATATAGATGTATGCGTAAGGGACTAAAAAGAAATAAATATTGAAAAAATTAATGTGTATGAATTGTTGTATTTATGGTTTTTCCAATAACAAGTATTTTAATTTATAACTTTTATGTTTTGAAATTCTTTAAGTAATAAACGATTTTAATAATAGTAGTTAAATATAGAAACCAAATAGTATATGGGTAGCAAATAAATCAAATATTACACTTGCTGTAGTAGATTTATTTACAAAAAATGGACGTTCGTCGTTACAGACTTAATAAATGAGTCTTGAGTAGAGTTGTATTTAGATTTAGGATTGGATTTGAGAAGGACAGATTAAGTTGAGAAGTCAACTATTATTTTAAAATCATTTTTAATTTAATAACACTTTTATTGGATAACCTAATATTATTAAAATTCTTACCTACTAAAAACAACAGTACTAAAGCCACTGGAAATACCACACAAAAAATGACAACAAGGAATGTTAATCCCACTAGTGACATACCATTAAATATTAACCAAGGAAGTACATAATATTTCTTACGCTAAAAAACAAATTATGGTTCAAAATATTTGATAAAATATAGTATTGATTTTTTACCATCAATATTCCGTATAAAGCAGCTACACATAATGCAAACCCCACGATACTGTTTACTAGCATAATAATGGTAAGTTGTACAGATAAAACTATGACACCATGTTCGGCAAAAAGATCATGCGAGTCGTATTGCAGTACAACGTGTAAAAGTGTATTCCTGAAACTTTCATAGTTTTGTGAGTTTCTTAGTTCTTTTAGATCACATATGGACGATACAAATAACATCACGGACAATATCTGTGTCAAAAAAAAATAAATAAAATACATTAATCATAAAATTATTAGAGGTAGTTAAATTTTCATACCATGCTAACAATAATATTTACAATGGCACATTTATGAACACTCCATCCGCATTTGCAGCAACATCTTCGCATCACCAATCTCTCCATTATTATGGGATATTTTAATTGAAATTAAATCATTTGCAAAAATTTTCATTACAATCGTTTAGATAGTTAGACCAAAAGAGGAAAATGACGTTTACACAATTATTTGACAATTTCTATCTGTTACAGAATCAATTTGGTTATTTGTTGGTTATAAATATTACCAACATTATCATTTTATTTTTTGATTAACCTTTATTTAAATTAATACCACAATACGGTTTGATGCTCATTATTTATTTCATTAATTAGTTTATGTATTAAGAAATGAATCACTTTCTCTTGCTCTATCTTCAGCTGCCGAGAGTCTAAAGAAAAGGCTGTGTCCAACAATATAAATATATGCGTAAGGGACTAAAAGAAAAATAAAATAGGCAAACAATTCATTTTTAATATTATTAATTAAATATTATCCTTACCTGCAAAGGTCAGTAGTATTAAGCCCAATGGGAATAGTATAGAGAAGATGACAAAAATAAATATTATTCCTATTAATGATATACCATTAAAAATTAACCAAGGAAGGATGAAATATTTTTTACGCTAAAAAAGTTGTGGATAATTTATCATTTTTTATCATTATTCATTACCGTTAGTATTCCGTATAAAGCAGCTATTCCAAATACGAACGCAATTGCACTATTCGTTATTGTAATAATGACTACTTGTGCAGACAACGTCCTTACTCTATAATCTGTAAATAAATCATTTTCATCGTATTTCATAACTACTTGTAACATCCAATTTCTTATATTTTTGCCGTCTTTCTGTGTCCGTAGATCGTAAATGGCCCCCGCTAACATTAATCCGGAAATTGCCTGAATTAAATTTAAAACATATAATCAATAATAATAATTTTTCCAGTTCCATACCATGCTAATTAAAACGATCAATACCGCACATTTGTGGACACCGAAGCCGGTTTTGCAGCAACATTTACGCATCACCAAATTCTCCATAGTTGTGAGATTTTTAACTGAAAGTAAATCATTTGCAAAATTTTAATTACACACGTTTTAATGGTTATACCAAAAAATGACATCTAAAAAATAAATTGACAAGATCAGTTAAAAAAATTTAAGATTAAGTCTTTATTAAAATTTACTGATTTTTTTCCATTCCCTTTATCTAAATAACTAAAGCATGGATGAATGAAATGAGTCACTCTCCTTAGCCCTAGCTTCAGCTGCTGCAAGCCGAAAGAAGAAACTGTGTCCAACGATATAGATGTATCCATAAGGCACTGAAAAAGATGTAAAGATGATTACTAAAAGCGATTTGTTCTATTTGTGTTATTAATTTCCTTACCTACTATAATCAATAGTACCAAACCCAATGGAAATACTACAGAGAAGACGATAAAAACGAATGTTAATCCCACTAATGATGCACCATTAAAAACTAACCAAGGAAGTACATAATATTTTTTCCGCTACAATAAATATTGATCAATGTTATAAATTTCGAACATTATTCTTTTACCATCATTATTCCATATAAAGCAAATACACCAAATAGAAACCCTATTGCACTATTCGCTATTACCACTATACTTAGTTGTATAGATAAAGTCATTACTCTATATTCTGCGAAAAGGTCGTTCTCGTCGTATTTCATCACTATTTGTAAAATCGCATTCCTTAAACCAGCCCCTTTTTTTTGCTTTTTTAAATCATATATTGATCCTGCACAGACTAGTCCAGATAATGCCTGAAATAAAATTTAGGTAAATTAAAAATAAAACGGTAAATTAAAAATTAAATTTTTAGAATTTCATACCATGCTAATCAGTATGATAAGGACGGCACATTTAGGAACACTACATCCGCTTTTACAGCAACATCGTCGCATCACCAATCTCTCCATCACTGTGAGATTTTAAATCATTTGCAAAAATTTTAGTCATAAAAGTTTTAATGGTTTTACCTAAAAAGTGACATTTAAAAATTTTTATTGACAATTTCTATTTGTTACAAAATCAAGAATAATTTCAACAGTTGTAACACGAATAGGGCTATTATAATTTTTCTATTTGTTGGGGAATTTATTAGTAATGTCCTGTGATTATGGGCAGAAATAAGAATTTGGTAAAATTTGTTGAATGATCTTTGCGATTTTTACACCTGAACATGGTAAAATCTAATAGTGAGTATTACAAAAATTATCACTAATGAATCACACTTAATCAAAAAGAAAAAAATCAAAACGATTGAGAAGTACATCAAGACTTTTAATTCTGTTTGTGCTTTAATTCTGTGGGGATTACTTTGAAGTAAAACGACATTTTGCATTTCTCTCCTTGAAATTCTTCTTTCTGGGTTACAACTTCAACATATCTGTATACTGGCGCATTATCTAAAACAACAATTATGTTTTTGCTTTCAAGAAAATTTCAAATACATGCTTGTAATCAACATCGAGAAATTAAAGTCGTGATATTTAACCTATGTGCAATTTTTAAGTGAAACAACAGGTAGTATCTTCCAATCTGCAACGTCCTTCACTTCATTCAATATTCGAATCGAAATATCACCTTAAACCTGATAGATCCTAAGTCTTATCATTCAGTTACATATGTACCTTAAGAAGAATTACGTCAAATAATTCAGTTTGGTTTAAAATGCAGATGAATGTCAAGAAAGAAAAGAAGAGTGCACTAAATAATAAGATCACTGCTAATGATCACCCTTTAGAAATCCAACACACTGTAATCTTATTTTCTATCAGTTCAATATTAACCATTGTAGATGTTGGGTTGGTCAAAATTACCTCCTCAAGTCTTGGCATTTTAATGTTTAATGATCTTAATTTCAAGGTTAAATTTTAATGACCTTAATTTTAATGATCAATGGTTAACCTTCATTCCTAGGTTACCATTAGCAGATGCTGAAACATTCCAAATCAAGGCCGGTGGCATCTTCTCCTTGAACGGTCAAAGCCAAGGTCATGTAATGCGTCCTTAACCGATTTTCAAATCTCCTCTGGTTTACTTTAGCCAATTCTGGAACCTCCTTGTTGACTGTTCCAGGAGGAGGTTCCACAATCGGCTAATACCTACTATTATAGCTGTTTTTCAACTAAGCTGTTGAACCTAAAGTGTTGCCTATAAAATGTTATGCGAGTAAATGTTGCTTAGAAATGGTGCATGATCAAAGCACACGTCGCTTGCGTTGATCTTTTTTATCCAGATTTTATGTAAAAATGGTTAAGAGATAAAGATCTTAAATGATCAAGAATATTGATTTTTAAAATTGATGAACTACCACTCTAAAAAAGAAAGTTCTGTTAAATGAAGTTTAATAACTTTGGAATAAAAAATTTTATATAAATGCATTAAGTCATCTCAGAAACGTTTCAGTAGATAATAAAAGATATTGTTTTAGTACAACTTTATAATTATTTTACCTAGAAATGTTGAATAAATTTAACAAAGATAACATTTTCAACGAACTACTGAAAATATTTTCCTCACATTCAAGGAATAACTCTAAACTGATAACAAACACATAAAATAATAGAAATGAATTAATATGTAATCTTGTAATCACAATAAATTATGAGATGTTAACATTTAAATGAATTTATCTAGTTAATTAGACCATTTCCGAGTATTTCATATTCAAACATTATTGACCTTTTGTTTATCTTTATATTACAAATACGTCTGTTATTGTAATTCGCCCTATCCAAACAAAATTTGTACAACAGCTTCCGTATTTACCGCATTTATTTAGGTATTGCGACGTAAAGCGATATAAACGTTTGTCGAAATTCCTAAAACCCTTTTCTATTTACTTGGTTTTACGTACACACATTCAACGAAGACTTCCACGTGCCATGTGAAATTGATAATAATGAATTGCTGACAGCTTCATGTTAGTAAACGACAACGACCTATTTACTTGTGGGGTATTCCTTTGAGATCTCTCCCTCGAATATGACCTAGATCGATCATATTTGCAAGTTAACGTGGTTAAAGTAATAAAAAGGGCACGTGGATTTATTATTTTTCCAATAGAAAATTTCAAAATTGATTATATTAAAACCAACAACACTATAAATGGATAGCTTAATTTACGTCATCTGTAATGAGCAATCGTTTATGTGTTAATTTTGAAGATTGACTAAGAATTAATGAATTTGTTCCGGAATTTTGACATATTGAGAGGAAATTTGTTTACGCTCGATTTTCACTAACAATATTTAAAATACATAAACAACTCTCTCTCTCCTATCAAGAATTTGCATATTTTTCTGAGGACACGAGCGTTCTATATACACAAATAATACACAAATTAAGAATTGAAGGTCGATTTCTGTTATGATCGGTAAGAAATCGACAGTTCATTGAAGGATTTAACATAAACATATTTCAATTGGAAGAGATATTTACAGGAAACATTAAAAGCATTTTTAAACTGTGTTCCAACTATTTATTGAAAACGGAAACGTTAAATTACTCGTATTACGATTTACAAATTTTCGATTGATGTTCACGAGCTGCCGGAGAGGTGTTAAACATTTAATTAATTATTGAATTAAAAAGTAACGAGCAATATGATACCTTTTAAATTTACGTAACCCAATCGGGTTAATTGCGTTTATATTATTTCAAATTAATTAGTACAGATCAAAGCAAAACTAATCTAAGGCATCATTTAATCCTTAATTGATTATTGTTGATAAATTTTTTAATTTTATTCTTTGATTTAGCCGACAGGAATTATAGAGTTAAAAAAAAGTTTTGAAGGACAAACTTTGATAAAATTTAAACGTTTACGAAATCGAGAACATTTGGCACGTAAAATCACCAACTAAATTGTCATAAACAAACGGTTAACTGTGCAAATTGTCGTAACAAAACGCGAGAATAGAACACGTGTTCGTTTTTTTGAGCATTTTAAAGTTGTTAAAGAGATTTAAAGAGGTTTTGTCTTTTTAGTGTTAATAAAAAAATTCAAACACCAAGTGAGGAAGATTTTCTATTTCGCGTTTTATATAGACTGTATTTATAGATCGAAATGAAATCTTTTTCGAACTGTAATCCACTCCTCCAGTCTGCCGTTGACATCCTATGGAAGTTGTCAGGAACATGTATAATTGATTATTATTTAATACGTAAATATTATCTGAGAATCATTGAGATTGTTCAAAATATTTACTTCCTTTTCTGTGGCTAATTAATACGTTTTGAGTGTTTTGATCTAATTTTTTTTTAATTATTGTTATATAAGTTCTGATAAAAGTTCAAATTCCATTATAACAATAACACCAAAAATAAACAAAACATTTATTAATAAAGTAATACCTTTAGATAAGACATTATCATAGATCACATAGAACATTTTAATAAAGAAAAAATTTTATGTTACATAACAAATTTGTTTTCTGTTTTCTCGTAACAGCGAATTGAAACGTTTTGACTTGAATAACTTTGGATTTCTTCTGGTTGTCGCTTAAATATAACCGTACTGTTGTGTTAACAACTTACGCAAGGTTAAAAAAGAAATTATAAGTGGAAAAGTTTCGTTACGACTTGAATTGCATTTATTTTCGAAACAATTCTTACTATTATGAGGCTATTTAAAGTTGTGTATTATCAAAGGTGTTAAAATTTTTTATATAGAACGTATGTAACTTATCTGCTATCAAGCATGTAAACAAATATAGGAGGGAACCTCAGAAAGAAACATTTTGTATGTAAACTCGATCTATTTCTAAAATGGAATTCTAAAAATTATACACAACCAGTTGTATTTGGTATACATTTTCATTTGTGACGTCTTTACGTGAGAAGACAACAAACAAATCATATTGGTTTAAAAAATAATTATCGACACTACTTGTCAGACGTTTCAGGAAATATTAATCGAAGTTTCAATCGATTTTAAAAAATCTGGATCCTTATGTCCTGGATTTATCGACCTATATATGGTTTTAATTTATTTGCCAAAATCTTATAAATGCATCATCACGGCTAAATCTGATCCCTTGACAAAAAAACGGAAAGAAGCCGTTTCTTGAAGTTGATGTCAAATTGAATGTGAAAGTTGTACTAACAGCATCTTGCAGTGCATTTGCAGTCTAACCAGAAGAAGTGAAAAGAAAGACTACTCGCGAAGAATCAATTTGTGAACGTGCTAGCTATACAAGAGGCAACGAATCCCATTAGCACATTAGAACTTGCCTACAAGAAAAAATATCACATAAGTATGTTGATTTTACATATCTGAGAAGGCTTACAACGATTGGCAAAGATGATCGAGACCAACATGTCTCATCCATTTAGACTTCAGACAGAAGCATTCAACAATCGACCAAGTACATCGTTCTACAGACGTCGTAGATGTAGCATAAGCTTTTGATAAAATATGGCACAAAAGTCTGATTTATAAGCTGAAGAAAATCTTGCCAAATGTATATCCAGAAATCTTAACATCGTATACTACCAACAGACTCTTTAAATATTGCAGACAATCGGCGATAATATATGTAAATGGACCAGAAGATGGAACGAGAATCCTTTCAGCTTCTCAACACAGTTAAATATTCAATCATTACTAACATCCAAAACTTTAATAAATCGGAAAAAGCAGATGTTGTTTTCAAACAGTTACAGCAAGAGCTTAATAAATCTTTTTTTTGCACCCGGAATTTTGAAGTATATAGGAAATCAGTTTTGAGAGGTGTTTCTTAAAAAAAGAGAGTAAGTCTTGGAATCAGCGACTTTATTAGAAGTCATGATTTTGTACAATTCAAGGAAATAATACTAATCGCCATCCCATCGATATTTCCTGCCAACAATTACAGTATAGATATGGGTTTAATTAAGTTAGGTTAATAACTTGGACATATTTCATGATATTATATTTCACGATATCGGGTTGTGCAATCATTGATTCAAAATTAACTTGGTATTGAAGAGAAAAATCGCCCGACTAGGAACTTTATTGTTTCGCAAAACTGTCGCAAAAGACTGCCATAAAGTCACCCACGAATTACTACATCAGTCACTCAAGGAAAAAGTACAAAACAAAATGTATGACTAATTTATGTATGACTTTGTCAAAATCGCCACGTTATGAGTTTTCTAGAAAAATTATTACCGCTTCGCTCATGAAATCAGAGTTACTCGAATAGTTATTTAAACAAGTTTTGAATCACCACATATAATAAGTATTAAAAATTGTATGAAAATAAACTTGATATCAATTTTATATTTAGTTATAACTTAGTATTAAATTTAGTATAAAATGAGTATGTTATGACGTTAGTTTGGTGATCGTAGATGTAATAAAATCATCTAAAAACCGTTTCTCTTCCGCGTACTATTCACACTAGCGACAAATTCTCACCAACCATGCCAAATATTCGATATTAACAGAAGTGCAAATAAAATTTATACGCTGGGAACGCATTGATGTCGCTGAAAGCTTTACTATCGACCCGGTACAACCGTCTAAATCTGTAATTACAACGTTTTGCATAAATAATGTCTTCTTGTATTTTGCTCCCTCGCTTTAATAACAGCGGTAATATATCGGATAGTTGATCAATTTTGAGCGCGACTCAATTAAGGGGGACAAGTTATACACATAGCTTCACTTCCCGGTTTTTAATTTTGGCAACTTCGCCAAAAGACGTTCTTCAAAACAATATATTTTAATCTGGGTTCGTATACGTACGATTTTTTATGGTTATATGTGTAATTTACGTTTCCTTCGTTGACTTGGAAGGATAACTAAATATATTTCGATTCGGATATAATTTATTACGCCGCTAAACCTTGATTTTTTTCAATCTTGTTTTTCTTTTACTATGCGGTTACGTCGAATATTTAACAGTAATGTAATCAATCTTTTATTTTGGATTTTTTTTCTAGAGAATATTAGAATGTGTATGTACGTCTCGAAAATAGAAATTTTAGAATATTGTTGTGATTGCTTTATTACACATAATTCTTGAAAAATCATTTCTATTTCTTTTTTTGAAAAAATTTCTTGTTTTGTAGCGATTAGTTGACAACATGTTTCTTAGAACTATAATTTTGTTTTCTACGCAGAGTAATATCTCATAATTTTCATAACATTCTCACTATGTTTATTTTTCTTTCATAATTTGTTTATTTTTAATGTAAAATTTTTGTTTTAAACTACGCATTTTATTTAAAATTGTTGAGATGATTAAAAAAAAGTAAGATGATGAATAGGATGATCAATTTCTTTTGGAATCTCCTTTATGTTACAGTTTTGGGTGAATACAGCAATCCTTGGCACACGTTTTCAGTGGCTACAGTGCCGATATCGGCTGAAACGCCGGTACGTTGCCATGGAAACGACGCCAATATATACGGCGGCGTCGCGACGCTGAGTTCATTCAGTAGCTCGGGCAGCAGCTGAAAATTTTGTTCAGATCCTACGGGCTCTCGCTTCGAAGTGTTTCAGTTGGTGTTAACTTGTGCTTAATAATTGAGTATAACGTGAACAATATTACTAAATAGAAAGTTCGTTATTCAATAGAAAGTGTTGTGGTTGTTACCAATCAGTCTTTTTCAAACCCACGGTACGTATCTATCGATAAACCGTGTTTAATTTTAATTTTATTATCGGGAAGGAAGGAGAAAAATAGGATTTTATGGGTGTTTTGTTGGATGTTTTTAACGGTGATGATAAAAACAAATTTTGCGTTGAGTTAAACATTTAACTCTGGTCCCCAGACTTTTGAACTTGCTAGGGTTTATTTTAACGATTTATAATAAAATATAAGCCCCGTGCCAACAGTGCTATGTGAGGAATTCTACGTATGCTGGGAGTTCATGCTTAACTCGCAGGGTTCTATTTTTGTGTACGCTTGTAGACGTTGTTACATGTCGGATTCGGGCGCCCGTCTATACGAAAACGACGCCAATATCTGTCAACGTTGAATTAAAATATCTGTTTACCAATAAACGGAACGTATATCACCAAACATCTTCTACTTTATGATTACCTATTAACAATTTGTCTCGTTCCGTCCAAAATTAGTTGATCTTACTTATAAATTAGCTTTAAACCGGGCATTTTTCGCTTGTTAATCCCCACCTTTTCATATTTATTGTTTCAAAAACAATTTTTAAATCTTTCTCCTCGTTTCTTTTTTAGATTATGAAGACAGACGATAAAAACCACATCCCAAAGGTCCGCGTGGCCGTATTAGGAAAATCGAACGTTGGAAAATCAGGTAATATTCCAAAAATATCTCGTACTACATAATCGTATTAACTGCTTCCTGTTTGTCGTAAAATTCACGATTAAATTTTCCATTATGCCTAAAATTAACTGAATGAAACTAGAAGGAATGAGGCCTCTAATATGACACGAAGCGCACAAAGATACAGAAAGCTGCCAAGCATAACGCCGGTGCATAAAATCATTGACAGCTCTTTGTTCGAAATAAAGCTTTTCCATGGTCAATAATAAACAACATTAAAATGTTTTTATTTTTATTTTCAGCTCTAACAGTTCGATATTTAACCAGACGTTATATCGGCGAATATAGAAGCAATACAGGTAAGGATTTATATTGATTAATTATAAAATTATTCATAAAAAAATAATCCACACACGAAATTGATCTATCCTAATAATCATAATCGTTTTAAAGCATATCAACTTAACGTACAACAACTTGCGCAATAAGCTTTTGAACAGTAACCTCTCAATAGCAATACGTGAAAATATTTAATATAAACTTGGCACCATCGATTATTGGCTAAGCCTCAACAGATTTTTGGTCCAAATAAATTTTGAAACAAGTTTTCGTTAAAATCTTCTGCGGAATATTTCTCTTATCTTTCATCATATCGCGTTACGTTCATAAAAACGGCCCGGAAATGTATACGTGAGAAAAATCGGGATCAATGATTCCCGAAAAAATACAAACAAACTTATCCCAGGAATTGAACTCGTTAATTTTTGTTAAACCCGTGAATATATTTTTATAAGGTCATCTGCGCAATATGCAATACAGGACATGAAATTATAATTATAATCCCCGGTTTCATTTTGATTTCTTTGTTGATTCAGTTTGCAGAAAAATATTTTTGTCGTTTTCTTCTGAAATTGTATTGATAGTTCTCGTTAACTTTACATCTTCTTGGAAACAATATTTCATTTATGATGAGGGTTATATTGTAAACATTTACGTTTCAATTTAATTAACAATTTTAAATAAACGAAGTGAAGTTACACGTGGATGCTACTCGTTAATTTATAACGTAAACATAACAGAAAGCTGATATTGCTCTGAACTTGCTCCAAAATCAACGTCCCCTAAAAACTTTTAGTTTTTGTAGTTCGAGGGCAAAAATTGAAATGTCTCGAACGAGGACGTTCATTTTATTTTCACAATCCATTAACGCCACTAACAAACACATCAACTGGGACATTTCTATTTTCATAATTGTGTCAAAAGAAATGGGGGCAAAAAGTAAAATCGTAGATTTGAAAAACGACCTCACCTTAAGCCAGAGGAGTGGCGCTCCCTTTTTTCTCCCCACACAGGATATGTAACGACAATTTGGAAGTTATCCAAAATCTCCTACGCAATTCTCAGGTACATATATCCGAAATACTTACCTTTTGGTGTATGGGCCAAAAGTTTAACCAATTTTATTTTAAAATGTTTTAACTGGCAAAGTTTGAATTGCTTTAAATTTCTAAGTGACCTTCGATTTTTCCTTTTCCAATTTAATGGGAAACCCTATTAATAAAAGCGAAATCGAATATTAAATCGTTCCTTTTTTTTATTGTGAAATACAATTGTAATAAAATTTGAGACTTCGCCGATAAAACATTGGTAAATTACGTCTTAACAACTCGAAGGCGACGAATCGTTGAATTATAGAGTTAAAATACGAGAGGTTTAAAAAACTTTATGGCTGTAAATTCCTTCAAGGCGCCGCCACAGCCGACGGGCGCAAAAAAAAAAGAATAATCTGAAAAAGATATTTTTATGCGTGGTATTTCTTCCTGGCGCCGAAAAAAATAGATCTTCATATTAGAACTTTAAGTTACTTATTGTAGCGCAACGATGACTAAACGTATAACTTTATCTCAACCACATGTCTAATTAAAATACCACGCTCCATTCTGCATCGCTAAGTATGCAGGAAGACTTTTTAGCGTCGTTGTTTATCATCAACCTGACCTCACCGCGGCTTAGTCAGACGATTAATCTAAAATCTTCATTGACTATTCTACAAGATGTTTGGCCCCGGGAATCCAAATTCTCACCGAATCAAATTTATCAACGCACCAAAGAATTTTAATTCGCCACGAAGTTAACCCCGGTAATACATCATTCCCGTTGAACCGTTGGTAATTTGTTGACATAACTGGAAGGGAACACATATGTGCCAGAACTCCAAATAGCTGAGGATAATAATATTAGCATTGCTCGTAAATTTACACACCGTGGCGGAATATTTCTTTTTCGTATAAACACGCCAGGAATTTTGCTAAGAAGCCAATCCAACATTCCTCGACGGATTAGTTCTGATCCTTTTTTGGCATTGATATAGAAACACAACCCAATTTAAATTAGATCATCGTAACTAATAATATTATTTAGTCACTTTTTAACAAAATGAAACAAACTTGTTGTTACTGAGTCAATCTCGAAAACACACGTTCTCCCTACCAAAACATACAAACGAGTGACGCAAACAAAGACATCTCCACCTACGTTTTTCAAATCCGAATTTTCAAAACTTTTGTGAAGTGTCGTGTGCAAAACGCATCAACGAAAATTGTAACGAAAACGTGCACCTGCGAAATATTGTGCGTGTATCTATCGTATTGTGACCGTATTACGTGTCCATATATTCTGGGGCAGACTATCTAGCTAAATATACCTAAATAAACGTCTCCTATATATACATCAGCTGCACTTCGCATGCCTTCGAACCTGGTGCGCTGCTCTACCGCTGATCTCCTATACAAAATAAGAAATACACAACGATGATTGGAATCCGAAAGCGCAATCCTCCAACAATAAGTTCAATAGCGCGTGTACGTGACTCGTCTCCATATGGAGGCGTAATCCCAAAATTAGAACATGACGAATTTTCAAAAAGACTTATTTTATTTGTTTAGTTTTGTTAACCACTAATCTTACTTTGTTTTACGTTCGCTTTACGTGGTTATGGTTATATCAGTGGTTAATGACGTAGATGAAACTCCTGGAAATGGCACATCGATATCACTTGCCAATCATGGACACTTGAATTGAATTTGCTCGATAACGCTTTTGTATTCATTTACCGATATTTACAAACTGTCTATGTGATGATGGGGATTTTTGTTGCCATTTTTTTGACATTAATGATTTCAAATTCTAAATATAGAATAGATCAATATCGTTAAAATAAACATGAACATAAAATTATATATTATTTTCTTATTGTTTCAGATCTTTTATATAGACAGACCTTAACGGTTAATAACGCAGTCTTAGACGTTGAAATCGTTGATGTCTGTAGTAGTGATATGTCTCTATTCCCGGAAGAAGCCATATATTGGGCAGATGCCTGCATCATAGCTTACGATATAACATCAAAAAGTTCAATGCATCACGCCGAACAGCTTCTGCAGCGTGTCCAGCAGCTGAGAAGCCAGATGCCGATAGTCCTTCTGGGGAATAAATCTGACCTGGAACATCTCAGAGAGGTAAATATTTTATTTCCCGTTCAATAACGTTGGCTCGAAATTTAAAGGATACGGTCATTTCCTCTTAAATCCGAAATCTATTCACATTCACACATAAGAAATCTCCTTGCTTTAGTACAACACGGGTTTTATTAGTGGATTAAAGTAAATAATTCTTGTTCTTACACTATTATTCGGAACGAGTTGAATAAATATTTTCTCGATTACATTTTCTAACGTAATTAATGTTAACTTCGGGTAATTTTCATGTTATTAACCGGGATCGCGAGCACGTGTTTGATTCACGCGTATAAACTGCAGGAGGTACTTAATTAAGCGTGTTTTCAAAGATTTCCTGCTAACAATTCTAAATTATAAATATTATGATTATAGAGTAATACAAAAAAATCTTTTGTTGCAGGTTGAAGAGATCGATGGCAGGACAACAGCCGTTCAGCATGGATGCCAATTCTACGAGGTTTCAGTAGCTGAAAATAGCTCAACGATATACACAGCTTTCGATATGGTCCTTTCAGATTGCCGCCAGTTACAAGCGACACAAAAAACTAGGAAGTTTTCCGTTTCAAAAATGATTGGAACGCTAATAGGTAGTACCAATGGAAAAGTGGTACCTAACCCAAATCAAGGTGGTACCGTAGTAGTTTGGCATAAAAGCGATCTTTACAAATCAAGAGTTCTTAAAAGGAGACAAAATTTTTCGGCGACGGCATCACTTTGACTAACCGACAATAATAACGAACAAGATGGAACCGTTCGTTAAAGAAGACAATGTTATCAATGTCTTATTTTGTACTCTGACCATTCGATTTTTCTCAGTTTTATGAGAAAAATGATGATTTATTTTTACGTTTTTAAGTTATATAAATTTATTTAAAAATAATCATTTTTAAGATCTTTTATACCGTTAAATCGTAGTTTTTTTAATCATGAAGTGAATGTTTCGAATTCATATCATATTGTAAACGGAATTTACGGCAGAACAAAACGTTTTTAAATAATAATATAAATAAATGTATCTCGATGTAGATTCTCAAGCTTGAGCTAAACTTTCGACTGTGATATAAAAACGAGATTGTTGTTTTGTCTCTTACATTAATTTGATCCAAGAGATGTGTAGTAATAAACTACTTGTTATTGTAATACTATATTTACGCCAAATACATACAAATTGTAAAACAAACCCTTGTTGTTTTCTTCAAACCAGTTTCCTTCGTTACATTTTGTTTGTGATCAGTGCCAAAAAGAATTTTGGAATTTATTGGTATCGTTCCGTCTAAAATTGCTACTGTATTATGGTCCGTGTGTCTTCAACGATAATTACGTAGTAAATTGTCGGTTGAATTTTCGATAAATTTAACTCGTTGTTGCAATAACAAGAAATTTCCCAATGGGATATTTTTATTTAACCGATCTTAAAATTTACAATATTTACATAAAAACAGTTATTCGTAAACTTATAAATAATCATAAAGAATCTTTATTTGAGCGTTTTAAAAGAAAGTATCGGTGAATTGTACGAAAATCATTCTATTTATAAATCCGGGCAAATTCTCAAAAACCACTTGGCGATCATTCCATTAGTTCGTTCAGTGGTGAGTCTTTAGTGATAGTAAAAACGAAATTTATGCCCACTCACTAAGAGTCTATTTTTATGACGTATGGTTTAAGCATTCTTCAACTAAATCGAGTGATTTCTTAGGAATTTTTAGAAACGAGTATTAATATCTCATCTGTTAAAAATGTTGTGGGTGAAATTGCTAAATTTAATGCTATTTTTAAATTGTATTGTTTAAGTCAGTGGTTCTCAACGTCTTTGGTGAATTTTATTTTATCCCATTTCATCTCATTAATAATACGTAAATTAAAAAAAAAAGCAGAAACATATTTAATTATCGAAATCTCATTTGACGTGATCTTGGTGTAAGATGTAATCCACACTAAGTATTGAGATCATATCTCTTCAGCAGTCAGTGTTGTTTACAAAGAATTACACAGGATTTAATGCTGCTATCGATACTACTTAATATTTTGCCGAAAAGTGTATTCCAATTGTTATCTATATAACGATAAGATCTTCAAAATCATTTCATACAAGAAATGTTAGAGAAAAAATCATAAATATAAATATCGTTTATAATTATAAATATCTTTTTGTGACCTTGAAATATGTATACAAATACATTTGTGATTTTAAGATTAATTCTATTATTTATTAATGAGAGATTATCCAAAGAGAAATTCATCCATGCTTTTCCCAATGAGCAAGAAATTGACCTTTGTTGTGTTTCTTTTTAACAAATTTAAATAAATAGTATAACAAATTTTAGCTTGCTGGATTTGTAGTCTTCTTTTACTTTGCCGAAGCTGTAGAAGGTTGTTCTACTCATTCTATTCTACCTTCATTTCTTGTGGTGTTAACATCTTTTTAGAGATCGTTCAGGCGGCATTTCAGAGTGTTCTATCTTACCACATCTTCCCCGTCTTGCGTTTCTTCCGAATTTCCTTGCTTCTTCTCTAATTCTCTAATGATTGGTCTTAAAATCATCATCTCATTGGTATGAATCATTCTTTTAGGTTCCGCTGTGGTTGACTGCGCCTTCGCAGTACATGATATTATTGATCTGACGCAGACTTTGCCATCGCCTTGGTCCCCATAGATATGTAATTGTTCCTCCAGATGGTCTAGATGAATTTTCAGTACTCTGGATGACTTGTTTTCTCACCTTATTCTCTATCAAATAATCGTTGATTTACAGTTTACATCCGCAGTTCTTTAGCTATTGCCATCCATTTTTGCTTAGTTATATAGTCTTTTTTCCAAAACCTGCGCTATTTCCTCAACTTCCTAAGCATCTACTCTATAATCTTCGCTCTTCGGCGAATGTTCATCTTTTCTTTCTGTATACCAACCTTGAAAGTGGGCATTCCATTTGTCCTCCGATATATTACTTGGGCTCACTGTTTCGTTTACTTCCTTTTTTGTTACTTCTAACATTTTCCAGATTAGTGTTTTTCCATGTGTTCTTTCTTTATCTGCCTTACTGTTTGGTGTTAGTATTAAGTGGGACTTTTTTTGGTAACAGTTTTACGACTAACGTGACCCAAGGTTTTTTCTTCCTATAGGGAGTATTAGCATTGACAGTCCTTTGGATTTTGTTGATTGACGTTTCTAGTCCACAACAAAGCTTGAAAAGTTATATTAAATTATAGTCTCATAATGCTTAGTAGCTCACTACTTACTGCACTCAGACATATAATACTTTTCAGGTTATCCAACTGAATGTTAAGGCGTGAAACTACACTTGGAATCATGCACCTCTTATTTTCCTCAACAGGATGATGAACTTTCTGCTTTTGGAATTTCTTTCTTATTTTTATACCTAGATCTGCTAATTCTATTCTGGTTCATTTAATTATGTTGAGACTGAAAGTCACAGGCCATAGGTAGCAGTTAACTTGCTATTTGCAGTTACATGCATTTGTAAGGTTTAGCTTTCGTTCTTCCTTTATTTTGGACATTTCATAAAATCATCATTAGGAGACACTTAACGCGTCGTCCTTAAATACAACCCTTTTTGTCCAAATCTAGCCTATATCTCATTATTTTTTAGACGAGGTTGTCATCGAATGGGTACTGTATATGTTCACTACATATCTTGCAGACGCTGTGATGTATATCTACAACCTTTCTGTTCTATGTCATGAAACGTGTTGTTCTGAACATGCGCGCATACCTTCTCTGCAAGAACTGAGGAAATAATCTTGGAAATCTTGGTAAATTCGAGATTGATTTACCAAATCACGATACCTACTAGAAATCATACAAGATTTTCTGAACACTTCATCATATTGTGGTATCGCTCTATGGCTAAACGTTAGATGGTCTTCAATGGAATTCAGTTACATGTTCTGAATGATATTCAATTTTTACCTGGAACTTGATGATCTCATTAATATGTCTCTTGATTACAGCATCCACAATATTTGTTTCTTAGTATGATAGTTAGATTACTTGGTGATTACTTATATATAATTTTTTTACTTCAGGTCTTTGTTAATAAAGAAGTGGTTGAGAACTACTGGTTAAAGCAAATTTTTTTTCATTAAAAAAAATAATATAAACTATTCTTAGACGATTCTTAAACATGTCAAGCTAAAAATTTCTTTCTAAGATGTTTTTAGATTCTGAAAAGAAAAAAGGAGCAAAAGATTTTACTTCAAAGGAGATTTGGTTGATATCATAATAAAAATGATTTTTTGTTAAATAATAAATATTTTTGCACCTGCAATTTTTAAAACATAACTCCTCATTTAAACATAAATTATTGTTTTACATACATAATTTGGTACATAATTAACGACATACGAAAATAATACTCGTACAAAGAATATAAACATCAATTTTAAAACAAGATACCGTTCATTTACAAATAATTTCGTTCTGAAAATATTCCTAAAAATATTAAGGTTTCCTACACGTGCGGCCAACATCAAAGAGATGTATCCAAACATGGTTTCAACAATGCAGTGAGATATTTACCAGGATTCTCGTTGAATTTATAGTCTGGATGGTCATGGTTGAACTTAAAAACAATGTTGTCAATTCCTTAATGCGTTTGAACGTAATGCAGGAAGAAAATAAGGATTTTCAAATTTTGAAAATGAAATTAATAAATTTACACCTCTTAAAAAATAACAGAAATAACAACTGTTATTATTGTTCCTTTGAAGTTTCGATTTTCGTTAATTTAATGTGGGAATTTTCGTTTCGTGATTTCGTTCTCGTGATGTTGTTTTTTGTGGCTTGGTTATAGTTTGAGCTATTCCGATTTCCTGTGACGTTCAAGTTCAAAATTTGCATCTTAGTTGCTAAATTTAGCGATCGTTTACTATATAAAATCCAAGCAAAATGCCGGTTAAATCTAAAATTAGTGTGTTGGTCTAAAAATTACTACTCCACAGAATTGACTAAATTGTGAAAATGTGGGATTTTCTTCGAAACGTAATTTCATAGATAAAATAGTATTTTGTATTCAAACTGGTAAACAGCAACTTTGTTTGTTTTAAACGGAGTTTTAAGATAATAAAGAGTAAAATGATTGGAATTTAAAAAATTGTTTAACGTAGGTGTTGAAAATGTGCCTTTTATTATTTTATTTCTTTTATTTGTTCTGTGGACGTTGTTATTGAAACCTTGTTACGTATATTGAATAAGCCGACCTTGCTTCCAGGGTGAATTTTTATGTCGATCGTAAAAGTACCCGTTTGTCATCAATGAGATTTTTGGAAAAAAACGGAAATAAAAGATATTTTTTTTTGAGAAAGTAGTCATATTTCACGTATCCCTCCTTGACTTCGGCTTAAATTGACCAGCTTGTCGAAAACATACTTTTAAACCAAAACATCGTCGATTTCGCAAAATATTATGTCGCAGCTTGAAATTATGATGACAATTGTTCGATGGAGATGTTGCCCTCAATTTTATCGTGTCAAGGCGATAGACGACGACCGATGTCGTCTATTTAGTTTAAGTTCGTAAACCCGTTTTGCATCGTTTCACGCGGTAGTTAGTTATCCGTCCGTAACCAATTAGTTATGTACTGGTACCCCTCAAGTCCTTGATAGAAGAAGAGAAAACTAAAACCTAAGCTAATCCCCAATATCACGTTAATTGGTACATAAACAGGTTCACGTTTAATTGAACGGTTACACGTGCAACTAATTCTAGAGCAACCTTAACCTGAGCTATAAAGCGCGACGTTTCATTTTATTCGAATCTCGCAGTCGTCCAGTTTGGCCACTCACGTGGAAGAATGCGCGAAGGAAGTCGTATTTTTAATGTTTAGTTTCTTTGTAAATATTTATCATTTCCATTCACAAAAGCTCTTTCTTACTACGGCTCTTAATGATCTAGATTTTCAGAAAATTGTTTTTCTTTTCTTTATGACCGTAAAAAGATATGTGAGTTACATGCCAATTTATAAAGATGGCCATCTGGCAATTTCAAAACTAAATTTTCATCTAAAATTAGATTTAGGTATACTTCATTTATTATTTATTTGTTAATTATTAACTATTTTATTAAATCAATAAATAAGCGTTTATTACAAGAGATAAAATAGCAAAATCAAAAACTTATAATTTTATTATTTATTATGACACGATTTTAAAGAACCAAAATCATTAAACATCCTTATATTTTCTAAACAATATTCATTCTAATAACTCGCGAAAATCCCGGGATTCGTCAATGTTTATGTTCATAATTGAGCGACCTACCAAAATATTTCGATTTTTCGGAATCACTTGTTGAAATTCAAAAACCTGCATCAATTCCCAGACGAAATATGCCGGAAAATTCCAAAATTATTGAACGTATATGTTCTCCAGTCAAAACAGCTGTTTCCTTTATTATCCATTCTAAGTACAGCATTTACGTTCATGATTTTCCTAACATTCTAGTGAGTTAAATTAAAAACATTTAAAAAAACTATACTTAAATTGAAACATTTGGTGATTAATTTGCATCTTAATATTAGGGAGACTTGCTCTTTATGGCTTATATCAGGGGTGCAGTCAGCTATGATTGCAAAATTCTTTCAATTCTTTACGTGGCATAATATTGTGGATTTAACTTGTGATGCCATTAATTCCATCAATGCAGTTTGTATATTTTTGCCACAATAATGGTCAGCCAACTTTCATTGCTAATTTGACATGCTCCTTCATGACAGGGTCAAATCTTACCAATAATTGTGTGAGCCCTAAAAATTTCCCATTATTTGAGGTAAATAATTTATCAGAAGATCTCCTGAAAGCCAGATTATTTTCAACTAAATATAATGTAATCTGCATCAGTCGTTGAAGCACATTTTTGTATAGTAAACTTTCCTTATAAATTAACTTTTGTGTCTCTTTGTCTATAGTTGATCCTGGATCTATGTCCCTTGATCCTAACGCCCTCTAAGAACTTTTCACCGAGGAAGGTATTAATGTTCGTTAAGAACATTGGACTGTACGACGAAATTTGTTAATGGTGGAATTAACTACTGGTGGAACGGATATCTGGCAACCATCCGGTTTTGGCCGGATAGTTGGAACAGGAACAGGAATTAGTATCTCATTTAGGTGTTGAACACTGCAGATAATGATAAAAAGACTTTTTTCATTGAATACAACTTTCTTTGTCATTAGCAACCTCATTGTAACAATCCCAATACGACATATAAAATCTGTTGTTGCAGTTTCGTCTTGTTTTCTTCTCTTCGCTTGTAATTCATCATCACATGCATTACTAACAGAACTGTCGCTGTTATCACTTTAGATTATTAATTAAAGTATCCTCTTCTTAATCCAAAAAGACGTTTTGAAAAATCACTTTTAGTTCTTGAGAAATAAATGTTTGAAATAATCGACAATTTTTTCGAATTTTGCAATTTTCGCCGATTAAGTTTTATAAATTCGTATAAAATCCATTTTTTGGAATATGAGTACGAAAATTTCTCAAAGTGTTAATAACAGTGTCCTCTTTCCAATGAACCAACACTTTTTGAAAAATAACTTTTAATTTTTGAGAAAACAATATTTGAAGTTTTGATAAAATCTTCGATGTTGCAATTTTCACTAATAATTTTCAAAATTCGCTATAAAATTAATTTCTTTAAGGATCCTTGTGGAAATAACACTAATTATTAATTAAAGTATCCTCTTTTTAATGCAACAAGCCGTTTTGAAAAATCACTTTTAGTTCTTGAGAAATAAATTTTTGAAATAATCCACAATTTTTTCGAATTTTACAATTTTCGCCGATTAAGTTTTAAAAATTCGTATAAAATCCACTTCTTGGTATATGAGTACGAAAATGGCCCAAACTGTTAATAAGAGTATCCTCTTTCCAATGAACCAATCCGTGTTGAAAAATAGCTTTTAGTTTTTGAGAAAACAATATTTGAAGTTTTGATCAAATTTTCGATGTTTCAGTTTTTATCGATAACTTTCAAAATTCGCTATAAAATTTATTTCTTGAGGATCCTTGTGGAAATATCACTATTATATCGCGATTGAACCAGAAATTTTAAACCATAGATCATTTCTGAACAATTTCTGATATCTCTATTTCCCACACAACGCCAACTCTAGCAATGGATAGTCTGCTAGTACCTAGAACTACCATTTACAAATTTAAGCAATTTGCTCAAAACTGTTCCGACAAGTTCTACCNATCGACAATTTTTTCGAATTTTGCAATTTTCGCCGATTAAGTTTTATAAATTCGTATAAAATCCATTTTTTGGAATATGAGTACGAAAATTTCTCAAAGTGTTAATAACAGTGTCCTCTTTCCAATGAACCAACACTTTTTGAAAAATAACTTTTAATTTTTGAGAAAACAATATTTGAAGTTTTGATAAAATCTTCGATGTTGCAATTTTCACTAATAATTTTCAAAATTCGCTATAAAATTAATTTCTTTAAGGATCCTTGTGGAAATAACACTAATTATTAATTAAAGTATCCTCTTTTTAATGCAACAAGCCGTTTTGAAAAATCACTTTTAGTTCTTGAGAAATAAATTTTTGAAATAATCCACAATTTTTTCGAATTTTACAATTTTCGCCGATTAAGTTTTAAAAATTCGTATAAAATCCACTTCTTGGTATATGAGTACGAAAATTGCCCAAACTGTTAATAGGAGTGTCCTCTTTCTAATGAATCAATCCGTTTTGAAAAATAGCTTTTAGTTTTTGAGAAAACAATATTTGAAGTTTTGATCAAATTTTCGATGTTTCAGTTTTTATCGATAACTTTCAAAATTCGCTATAAAATTTATTTCTTGAGGATTCTTGTGGAAATATCACTATTATATCGCGATTGAACCAGAAATTTTAAACCATAGATCATTTCTGAACAATTTCTGATATCTCTATTTCCTACACAACGCCAACTCTAGCAATGGATAGTCTGCTAGTACCTAGAACTACCATTTACAAATTTAAGCAATTTGCTCAAAACTGTTCCGACATGTTCTACCAATGGGCTGCGGAAGACACTATAAGCACTGATATTGTGAGATCACTATTAATGATTAATCTTCGGATCGAAAACGAAAATTCTCTGGTTCAGGCAAATATTTGCATGTTCACAGATGGATTAAGAACGCCGGAAGGGATTGGGGCAGGAGTATACTACCAGACACTTCGGATTAAGAACCAAAATTAGTAAACATCCTTACATTTTCCAAACAATATTCATTCCAATAACTCGCGAAAATCCCGGGATTCGTCAAACTATAATGTTTATGTTCATAATTTAGCGACCTACCAAAACATTCCCTTCTAATAAATTCACAGACGAAATATGCCGGAAAGTCAAAACATCTCTTTCCTTTATTATCTATTCTAAGTACAGCATTTACGTTCATGATTTTCCTAACATTCTTGCGATTTAAATTAGAAACATTAAGAAAAAAACTATACTTAAATTTAAATATTTGGTGATTTTTTGTAAATATCTTTATGATGAACTAGAAATTTTAAATCATAAATCAATTCTGAAACATCTTTTCTACTAAGTTCAAAAAATTCTGGGATTTCCTGTATATATTTATGTCTTGACCTTCCAAAACATTTCTTGGACTTTATAATTTTTCAATACTTACATAATCTCTTTAAATATTTCGTTATTTGACTCATTTTCAAACATATATCACAACCAATATTTATGAATTCCAAGAAAAACACCCACGAGTTTCCTCGTTAAAGCATTTTCAAGGCGTAAACGCCTTTAAAATCCTTCTTCGCCACCCTTGTGACGTGTTTTTGCTAATATTATTTTGCAACAATGTTAACGAACTTGGCAGAGAAAACGTCGTTACTTGAAGTATGAATTATGACTTCCTGGAACAATGCAACACAAAGTTTTTTTTCCTCAACTGAGTTATAGTTTGTTTAGTTGCAGATTAGACGGCTTTTCGTGGAACATCTTTGGTTTGGGCCACGGCCGTTTAAAACGTGAAATACATAAATATAACGAAGCGCGAGCAGTTTTCTTCTAATCAAATTACGCGCTCGTTAAAATGATCCTTTGCCGTGGTACATTTTAAAGCTCTCGGTCTTTTTGATGACGCTCATATAATGTATTAAGGTTACTTGTCGCAGGACGAAATATAATGATAACTAATATACGTACGAGTGTGATTTGTAAGTGTTGGACTATTTAAATTTGTCAACACTTGTGTTTTAGTTTTATGTCTAGGTCAAATTGATTTATACTAAATGGAAAGAAAGAGAAATTAAGTTTATGCGTTTTGTAGAAATTTATTGGATTATTTTTATCTCAAAAACACAAATTAAGTCCATAGTTGACTAATAGTAATTTATGTATGGGATAAATTTGACTAGAGGTGCTATATACATTTCAAACAATTTTCTACATAATTATTTTATTCACTCACAAATTTTTACATAAAATCGATTTATGGATGTGTGACATGATATGAAATGAAAGTTAATTATAGATTACAAAATTTTAATGGTTTAAGCTCAGTTTGAACAATGTGGATAAAAAGAGAAATAGAATGAGTTTTTTATAAAAATTTATTATATACAAAATTAATTTAAAAAACTAGGATCACTAAAATAGGAATATTAGTTACTTATTTAAAATAAATTTTTAATATATCCTTTTTAACAATTAAATTTATTTTAAAATAATTATGAAACAATATTTTCATAAAATAACAAAATAAAAACAATATTTTTTTTTAATAATAATACAATTCTTCCTTTATCAATTAAATAAATCCGTTACAAAGTTCCTTTTGTACAAATAAGAAACTACCAAATCTAAATCTCATTCAAATCATTTTTATTATTCAAATTGACTACTTCTTAGTAGCGGCTACAACTAGTCCAACCACAGCCCCTATAGCCAAAACAGCCCCTGATGTTATTGCTATACCAACTAATCCTTCTTTATCCATTTTCTTCTTAACAATAGCCTCTAAAGCCAAAACTTGTTGGTTTCCAGGTTCAATACTCAAAAACGATCGAATGTAATTTAAAGATCTTGAATATTCTTTCAGTCTCGCACAACCTAAAGCCAAATAATACAAATAATCCCTTTGACCTTCTACGTGAGTTTTGTAAAGCTCCTGTAATAAACCAATCCCTTTCTTAATGTCAGCTGGATATTTACTTCTAACCAGACACCAAGCATATTCAAATTGTGCTTTTGGTGAAACATTATTTTCGTAGAGCTGTTCGTGATATATCCTTTCGAATTTCTAAAACAAAGAGAACAGTTTAAAAAAGCTTTTAACACAATAACAAATAAAATGAATGAGTCATCCTAGAACTGTCAAAATAGTAGTAATTTTGAGGTTATTTTAAGTGTTGTAAATGTTTAACTTTGGAATTAAACTATTTGACGACCTGATAAAGTGTTTAAATGAGTTTTGTTGAGAAAAACTTACTTTTAAGTCTTCCGATGAGACTACTTCTGTCAGAACGTCATCCATTTTTTTCTACAATCGTGATTTAGCGAGACTATGAACCTAAAAACAACGACGAAAATGATTAAAATGACAGATAAAACACGTGTGGCGCAACCTGGTGAACGTTTTATAAACACTTTAGTTCGAAAATTGAAATATAGGTAGTATTCGATAATGAAAATTATTAGTTTACGTATTTTTACATAGATGGAGATGTTCAAAATTAATTTTTTATAAAGTTGCTTTTTTACTTATTCTAGAATAAGATATAATAACTGCGCAAAAAATTGTTTTTTTATCACTTTTATTACGTAAATATGGTATGATTTTGACTAAATTACATAACTGATAATATGACACATAAACATACAAAATTAGTACTAAAAATAAACTTTTATTAGTTTTAACGATTAGCGTTATCATTTTTTGCGTATAAACATCCAAAGAGTAACACGTTTTAAATTAACTCATTTAATTTAAGGAATGATTAAAATCATTATTAATTAGCGAATGTCATCTTGACGTTTAATATGTATGTACAGTGGCGGAGAAAAGTCAGCATAAAGCATTGAATTTTAAGGTTTTTGCAACTCCTAATTGATTTCTTTAACTCAAGTGTCAAAGCGTATCACTTTTTATGTTAGATACATCACTTTATTATTTAATCTAAAACTTCAAAGAGAGGCACTTTCAACCACATCACATTAAAATTCATGTTAAGAGAAAATTTAATGTAATAAGGAAAATGTAATTTTTTTAATGGCGCAGAAAAAATAAACGTCTAAAACACGTTTTGAGCTGAAAAAATAATTTTATAAAAATATACGGCTTATAAGAAAAATATTTCGTTATGGCAGTTAATACAAACACATAACATTTAGATTGAAACTTTTCTTTCAAAGTACTCAACTTGAAATAAGGAAAACATTAAATGTTAGTAAAGGAGAAATTTTAGTTAAGATAAGTTAAATTGTGGCAATTTTAGAACTAGGTCAAAACGATCAACATCTTCAAGATAATATAATTTATAACTTGGGTTCTTATGACGCAGATATTTAATGACATATTCATTCGGTTTACAATTTTTATCTATTTTTTATTTAGTACAATATTTGCCAAAATACTTAAAAATAACTCACCAGAACAAACCAGATATGGAAGCGTTAATCCAATATTTTCTGTATTACGTGTTCTGGGAAACACAAACTTTTAAATATATTAAGTTCACATTACAAAATAAAGTAAATTTTGTGAATTACTGGATTAGAGATTTTTTTCTGGATGGATCTAATGAAGGTGATGAGTTTCGCCAAGATAACGACCTAAAACACAAGGTTTATAAAACATGTATCTAGCTCCTACATAGTTGTCCTGATGTCATAGAACCACCACTTCAACCTTCCTTTGGTTGGAAATTAAGAGTATATTTGGTGGAACATAAGTAACTAATTATTGAATAAAGCATTAACGTAACTAAATAAGACAAAAGAGGTGATTATAGCCTCAGGTGATTAGATGTTGGTGTCACTTTTAATAATCTTATTCATTCCCAGCACTTATTATCCAAAAATTAACGCGCTGTGCCTAACCTACAACTATTCAGTCATAAATTACTCCTTTCATAACTTATCAAAATGGAAGGGAGATTTCACCTGATCTTAAAGATGTTCACATGGTCCAGTCGTGTTCCTAGAATGCAAGTAGCAGATGGCAAAGACGGGTTAAGCCCTCATTCCCGGTAACCGGTCATGTGGGGTAATAAGAACAAAGAATGTGCGTTAGCGCTCTAAATTCCTTTTTATAAAATATCAAGTTTTTGATTAAAATTCAGACAAAAAATTAGTGTAGCTGTATAACGAAATCCTAGACTAGACTTTGCAACGCGACCTGCTGGACGATTTTATATATTTATTAATGGTTTTGCTTCAACTGGTTTTGGCTAAACTTGTAGCAACCAGTTATAACTTCCCTAATAAAAATCTAATCTAAAAATCTAGGAGATCTGTATGAAAGACAGAAAATAACAGTTTGGTTCGATGTGAGCAAAGATATCGTAATTAGGCCGTATTTCTTTCAGAACTATAATGACACTGCTATTTCGTGTATGGGCTATAGACTTAGATTTCCTGCAGCTAAGGGTCACATCTTCTCTAGATACTTCCACCAATTCTAAACTCTTTTTCATGTTCCTGGATGCTTGCGTCATGATGCAACCCTAGTTAAAAGGAGCCCGAAGACCATCAAGGCTACATAACATTTAGTATTTTTGCAACATAACGATATTTACCTACAAAGCAGAGAATTGGATAGATAAGATCTAATAATTAGAGGTGTGTGTTAGAACCTCATTTGATAAATCAGGGGTATCAGAAGAAAATGAGGTTGACTCGTTAGCCATTTTACCCGTGGTTGCTCTAATTCCTTCACAATAACATTCAGAAATTATATTGTGTCAAAACGCAGTCTATATTGTTTCTATCTAACATGTCTGGCTTTAGCAAGATGAGGCGATAGGCCTTATAGCCCAAGCATCAATAACACCAACCTCATTTCCAGGTTTTACACATTAATTGCGTCTACACGTCATTATTCACTCATTGCAAGAAAGCAAGTCATTACTCATATTGCAAGAAAGCAGCTATTTGCGTTGCGAAGAGTGTTTGAAAACATCCTAGAGTGCCTCCAGAAATGTATCAATGCTAGCAGTCGTCATATGTGGGATATTGTTTTCCCCTTAACGTTTTAAAAACGACGTTCCTTTCTGCCCAACACTTTATGTGCTGCAGATGCAAACAGAGGCAAGAAATATTGATGGAACCAAAATGTGTACCTAACATAAAAACTTCTGCTGGAACGCTTAATACCAGGAAATGATCATGAATCTTAATAAACGCAAAAAGATGTATTTCTACGAGAAAACAAAAAAAAATCTATAACAATTTATAGAAAAATGTTTCTGATCATGTTATTTGTGGGATCAGATTTCTCAATTTGCTGTGTTTTTTTACTGGGGTGCTTAATGTAAAAGTGATTTCTCATCCATTTTAAGCTTTAGAGGAACTTGAGCGTAACATCTGCACAGAATGTTGGACTAGATGATCCAAAAGTTTACATCAAAAATTAAACATGGGAAGTTTGTTATCAGAAATGTTGTACTAAGCCAAAAAAGTAATCACTTGGTATCGTTCAAAGAGGAGAAATGAATTTGTTGTGATATCAATAGCTCGTTTAGGGATGTAGGGATGTGGGACTTATATTCTGAGAAAAAAATCTTCAAGTTGCTTTGCATAACTGGTGCAAACATTCTCTTTTGCTCACTAATTCTATCAAAATAAAGGAATATTATGAACATTTAAGTATACTGATTATAGTTGGAATATGATAAAATTTGATTTTTGTTGCTAGCAAAAAAGTTGTATGGGATAATTTTAAGGATCTAATTCACAAATCATCTGCTAAATGTGCATTTCCAGCATACTTCGAATTCAAGCTATAATTTGCCAAAGGTTTCTGAAAGATTAGATGGTATTGATTTGAATTAGCTAATTCTATTGAACTGTACTATATGATTTATAAATCATAGAAGGTTATAGACTAAAAGTGTAAATAAAACAAATTAATTAAAGATCAGAAATAATTTTATTTATATGTAAATGGTTACGTTTTATAATATGTACAAAAAACGCTATATTTATATTTACACCGTAAAATCTCTTACTCAGTTTTATTTATTTTTTATTTATACACAAGAACAATGAAAACTGCACACATTCCATAATTTACTATGACTAGTTTCTCGTGTTTTTATGTTTTTTAATGGCCCGTAATATACAATGTTACGATTATCTGTTTATTTCTTGATTTTTTCAAAAGTGTTTATTAAAATAAAAAAAAATTAAAACGATCACAACCACACAAATAGAGAAAATAAAATGTATACGTACAAAATAAATAATAAGTCTCGCGGGGAATGCAATATTTCGAAAAATAAAATGCTTTTCGACGTCTCTCTATCAGTTTTTTTTTACAAAATAAAAATAAATTTTTAATAATTATTAATTTTTAAGTTTTTATTTTTAATAATTAATATAAATTAATAGCCAAATATATATATTTTTATTTTTTTCTTTTTCGGTATATACACGTATTTATAATTTTACTTTTATAGAAATATTGCATATACGATTTCTTTTCTCCGTTTATTTTTTATTTACAAATCGATTTATTTTTCTTAAGATATTTTCTCTTTGCGAAACTATACAATCGATTATTATAATTAATTTAGTTTCGACGAGTGATTTTTTTTTATGAAATTACTTTAATACAAACATTGTTGTAATTTCATAAAACAAATCTTACCACTTTTTTTTAACTTTTCATTAAGAGGTTTTATATAATATAGTTTTTGTTTAGAATAGTGATGGTTTTAAATACATTTATTTTAAATTTTTAATAAATATAATCGGTTGCTGACAAAGTTTCGTTTTTCTTTTAATGAATAAATTGTTATTTAATCCTTATAAATAACGAATGATTGTGAGTGAAAGTAGTTTAGTTGAGTGTAATAAAAATTCTTTGCTATCTTTAGACAACCTATTATTGGATGTGAAATAATTGGCAGCCGATGAAATTCTTTTCAGCCGTTTGTTTTAAAAATAATGAACCTTTGGTGACAAGTTGAGAAAAGAATACGACAGATGTATCGTTTTCTACTCAAGATTAACGTTTCAACCCAATGATATTTATTTATTTTTAAATGCATTTTTTAAACATCACTATTCTTTATCAATGTATAGACACAGCAAGAAAAATATACTTAGCACTACTGTACAAAACTCTATTTAGTATTTATAAATTTTTTCTTTTTTTTTTTCGTAAAAATCACATATTGGAATGGATTCATTTATTGCTCAGTTTTATATAAGAACCACCCGCGCAAAACATTAAAACGACCGTTCTTAATCGTTTTGGTTAATGTTGGTGCACGTCCCTATGATGGTACTGTTCAAATCCGTTCCGAATTTCATTCTTGGTGGACCTTAACGAGTGCGCTCTGCACGTGTCCCCGGTTATGTAAGTGAAACCAGTGACGGGGAGTGTGCCACCGGGACCTTTCGGGGCCCTACCAGCACGCCGACCTTCACCACCTTCAAGACAAAACACCCCTGAGGCTGGCGTGCTAAGTTCTAGCTACAATTCCGTCACCGGTATCGGCTTCATATGTGATTGAGTGTTCCTCATAATATACTCATCGTCAGAAAATGTTTTTTGGTATTCGTGTTCTTTTCTGCTAATCGCCGCCCTGTTCCATTTATAATCCTTTAAAGCTTCCCGTACCCTTTGTCTGTATCTGAACAAAAATAAACATAAAAGTCCAATGATTACAGCCGCACTTATTCCTAAAGTAACCATGATCGCTTGTTGTTTAGGATCGCTAAATGAGCAACCTAAATCATCCGCACGAAGCATTTTTAACGGCTTATCTTTAAGCTGTAACGGCGACGCACATTGGATGTTGGTTAAATTCTTTTTTAGCAACAATTTATTTAACCACAAAAGCTGACAATCGCAGTGTATCGTATTATCAGTAAGCTCCATAACTTTGAGATCATTCCAAGATAGTAACGACTCCGACACAGTCTTAATAGCGTTAGCCCTTAAAACTAAATGCCGTAAATTAGGTAATCCAACCAAAGAACCCTCCTCCAACATTTGCAACTTCCTATTGCTAGCTAAAATCAAAGTTTCCATATTTAAATTGGTTGAAAAAGCACCTTTTTCAATTTTCTCAAGTTCTTGAGCTCCGGTAATATCCAATTTTCGCAAATTACTCAATCCTTTAAAAGCGTTTGCTTCAATAGTTATAAACTGATTCTGTCCTATCGTCAATTCTTCCAATCTAGGAAGATGAGATAGTTGTGCAGTTGGAATAACACGTAACCTATTATCTGCTAAATTTAAAGTACGTAAACCGACGAGTCCGTGAAAAGCACTTTCACTAATATTCGGTAATCCGGCTCCGTTTAAATCTAAAACGGACAGTTTGCCTAATCCGGCAAACGCGTTACTTTTTAAATCAGTGAATTCGTTTAATCCAATATGAAGTTCAGCCAAGTTACCCATCACTGAAAACGAATGGGTTGGAACCGCACTTAAAAGGTTATCATCTAAATACAGCACCCTTAATGAATGTAAACCGCTAAAAGCGTTTTTATCGATTTTCGAAATTCTATTTTGACCTAAATTTAATTCTTCCAAATTCGGAAGAACATAAAATAGGTCTTTTGGTAATTCATCCAGGAAATTTTCACGGAGATTTAAAACGGTCAACGATTTCAATCCGGTAAAAGTCCTATTATTCACCACAGATAATTTATTCTTATTCAAATGCAACTCTTGTAACTTTTCTTGATCTTTGAAACTTCCCTGTGGGATACTAACGAGATGATTGTTTGACAAATCCAAGTATTGGAGATCTCGGTAAAAATGAAGAGCAGCATCCACCGTTTTTATTTTATTATTTTTCAACACCAACCGCTGTATAGCTGGATTTAGAGCAATTGGAAATACGTCCAATTTACTCTTTTCGCACTCCACGACGAAGGTGTCATCGTTGCACACGCAACCAGCTGGACATCCCAAACTTTGAGTCGACGAGACGAAAATACCAAGAAGAAGTAGCCAAATCATCGTTGTCCAAGTCGTCTAAAATTAAAAAAAAAACATTATTAGAATTAATTAAAATTAAATAATATTCGATCAAAATTATTTGATTAAACATCACGCAACTTAACGGAATCCTTCATTAAAGATTTATGGATTTCGATGGTAAGCAGTTTGCTTTAGTACTTTGTACAGTTTGTGCTGCACGATATGTTTACGATGTTGTTTGCAGACGATCTTTTACGACGTCAAAATGAAAGTTATATTTGACGGTAGGATATTTTTTGCGCGAAAATTGAAGGGAAAATAAAATATGATGAATAATCGAATAGGTTGATGTAATGAAACGATATTATCGTAGTAAAATTAAAGGTTGTTTTGGCTTTTGGAGTCATAAATCTCGCCTATCCAGACAAAGTTATGTCGCTATAAAGATAAGCGGTGAAACAATGTATAAAAAAGAACCTTGAAGAAACGGAATAAGTTATATTTACTTTTATCGTCATCAATGTGAATAAATTAGTTAAAACGTAAATTTTGGCATAATGCCAGCGTTTAAGTTAAACTTCTTAATCTTGAAGACTCATCAAATTATACAAAATGATAGTCTTAGACTTTGTGATTTAAGTTATCCTAAATTAATTCATAATGTGTTAGTCGATGTAATTTGGGTTGATCTGTTTTTCAAGAAGTCTTGGATGTTACATTGTTTAGTGTCTTAACACCGTGGCTTCGCCGTGAATACTGTCATATTGCGTATATTGTACAAAAGAATTGGCTTGAATAATATGTTTTCAATGTTCCAAAATTATCGACTTGTTTTTATCCTTGAATGACGTCCCGATTCTTAAACAGAGTTAGTGCACGTATTGCTAAAACTGTATTCCTCCTACAATAAACCACGAATATTAAAGTGAACGAAGCGACACTGTTTTCTCTTCAATGATATTTCAAATCGCCTCGTAGATCGCTAAGCTTGCCTTATCTTTTGCAGTTCATTTCCATGAACCCGATCTTTATCTTGACAGCCCCAGCAAATTTAAACGATTTCGGAAAAAATAACACGTAGCTTTTCCACCTTGTAAATAGATATACAACTTCACAATGACCTGATAAATATTTCGATTCTCGTGAAAGAAATGGCACGGTTTTAATTGGGTTAATTATTATATTGGAATTAGTATTTCTTATTGCTGTCTCTGTATATTGTCATTAACAGTTAATATCTTATTACATCAGGTGTTCAACTTTATTGCCTACTTTGTTATCATGGAAGATAAGATTTTTGCTATTGCAAAAATTTATGAAAGAAGACAAGTTTTTACAATTCCCTTGTAAGCTCGACAGAAGTTAAGCATTATCACTTGTAATATTCTGCCTGCATTTCGTGTGAATCCGCATCACACTTATTTTTCCATTTTTTTGGAGATAGTCTTTTGAATACTGGTACATATGGCAATCTTTGACAGTCTATATCCGCCATCATCAAAAATATCTATGAACAAGCAACCTTTCACATCAAAATAGACGAGGATACAAAAACAGGTCTCAGATCTCTTGGTAAAAGCGTTCGGCAGGGTGACACTATTTGGCCAAGTTATTCTCCTTGGCTTTGAAAAATGTATTTAAACATTGGATTATAAAAATATGGATTTGAATGTGGATGGTGTACGTTTGAATCACTTAAGGTTCGCAGATGATGTGGTAGTGGTCAGTTCAGACATAGTGAATGTGGATAACATGTTACAAGATCTAAAAGACCACTCAAAGAAGATACGTCTACAAGTGAACCTGCATAAAACCAAAATAATGATGTTACCATTGACAATGTCTCCTTAGAGAATGTAAGGCAGTACATATATCTTGGTCACACTATTAAAATTGGCAAAGAAAATCATACAGCCGGAATAAAGTGACGGATTCAACTATCATGGCAGCGTTAGATGTCATAACTTAGTTTTATACTGATAAATATAGAATGCTGCCAGTGGCTACATAATTAATTGAAACGGTCTGAAAAGTTCTGAAATTTGTAATTAGGGGCAACCCTGTAATTTCGGAAGTAAAATAAATAAATAAATAAACCATGGTCTTGATAAGTAAAACGAACGAGCAATGTTGGGAGTCACTGTGAGAGACAAGCTCATTCGCAAAACAATATAGGTAACATATGTTAAGAAAACACAAAAAATGGACACTAAAAATTATCTTTTGGAGACCACAAGAAACTAACTAGATGAGGTTCAGGAAGACCACGAAAGAGATGGATTGATAATGTGAAGGGTGATCGCCATAAAACGATATATTTACGCCCAAATAAGTGTAATCTCTTACTTATTCTATCATGTAGCCGTTCATTTTTAGTTTACATCTACTCAATTCTCTAGCTATCACCATAATTTTTGATTTGGTAATTATCACCACGTATTCTAATAGCCTGTAATAGCCATTGTAGTTCATGCTGTCATCATAGTTCAATATCGGTATGGATTCTGCCAAGATGACTTATAATGTTGCAGTTGTGCTTCAAGACAAGTTTAACTAATTCTAATGCTGATTCAATGCGTATACTTAGTTTATGGGGATCATTTCTTCTAACATTGTAAATGTATTCTAAAAATAGTACGTTTATCGCAAAGTAACATAATTTTTAGAGTATACTTTTAGGCAAATTATAAACAAACCAAAGTTTAATGTAAATGTTATCAAGATGTCCTTTAATGACTCCAAATGAAGATATCACGAAAACGTCTCTATAACTATGTTTCGCTATATCTCTCTAGTAAGAGATTAGCTGAGACTGAGGACCTCTAACTCTTCGTATGTCCGGAGAACACCCATAATGAGTGAACTCGGTTTACGTATGACCCCGCGATAGCTGATGTAAAATAGATTTCCCATATCAATATCTAAAGATGACAAAGATATTGGAGAATTGGATCGATAAATAATCGCAATACTTTTGAATAACTTTAAATATTTATCAATAAATAACAAGCTTAATGTTCTGAGTTAGCAAATTTTTTCAATAAAAATTGTATTTGATTTTAGCTGAATTTGTTGTCGGTGCAAATTTATTTTATACCCACAATCCGATGTTTACAAAGTACTCAATGCGTAATACAACAAAATGCTCTAAATAGCGATAGATAGCATGCTCGAAACTAATAAAACGTTTATTGCCGTGCGAGTAAATACAGGTGTTTGAAGATCTGTTCGGTTTTGCACAGTTGTTAATCGGAAGTGCTTATCTATCTTGTTGAGGATTCGAATAATTCTTATTTGCAATGAGATTAAGACGTAGTTTAAATTTTGCCCGCATTTTTAACAAATGCGGGTAATTATTTTCTTTTAAAGGAAAAGTTATTTTTTATCATATCAATTTTAACCCCGCATGGGAAAAAAACAAAAAAAAATCCGGAACGAAACTAAACCTTTATTTCTTGTTAAAAAAGATTGGTAAGCGTGAGTTTCCCCCGACAATCGCGCTTCCGAGCTTTCGCCCCCGAAGTTCTTACCGGCCCTCAGGGGCACATTACACAGATTGCCGAAGGGCTACGCACCCCTACGGAAAGGAACCCCAGAATAGAAATTATAATGATTTTGTTCGGGGCAGTGTTGTAGTAACGACTTTGGCGCTTTCGCTAGACGCACTCGCACGCAAAATTGAAAACGGGGTCAGTGGACTGGCAGAATCCGATCTGACAGCGTCTTGTGTACTTTTCGGTGAGAGCTTATTTAGAACTCATCAAATGCAAATACACATACGAAACCCCAAACCAGACTAAACAATAATTAAACTAAAACCACAGTGAAATGTAATTTAAATAATTATTAACAGCAAAATAAATACTGCGTTGTGTAGAGCTAAAAGCTTTTTTATTAATAAGTAAGTAAATTTAGATCGTTTTCGATGTTTGTTGTATAATTGAATAGCCGATGTATGAAATTCCGAACACCGTGTTTACATTTTCCTTCCTCTTATAGTTTGATTTATGTTGTCGAGTCGCGGTCGGTATCGTGAGAGTACAGCTTCCGCTGCTCTAAGCATTCTTAGCAGGTTACGCCAAGTCGGAAATCAAGGACAAGACAAAGTTTCTCCTCAACTATACGAAAGCGGTAATCTATAAATAAACGCGCGGCGAACGTAGTCGCTTCGTCCCCGATTTTATTGCTTCATTATTATGGGTATTGTGCCGATTGTCTTTCTAGGAAGCGATAGATCGTTGTCGTCGCCGTCGTCCAGAAGGCCAAGTTACGTAACGCGATAACACGATTGAACCGAGTCTTCACCGACGTGTGTCTTATATGTTAACCTCTTGAAATGCTTGAAGGGAAAGGAAAAAATATATTAAGTATGGCGAAAGAAAGTGGATGAAACTTTTGTATAATTGGACTAAGCGATATTTTACCGTTTTTAGAGATTTTCATGCTGTCTGGTAGATAAAGGTGTAACTTATCTTAGAAAAAATGCAGAATACCGAAAGACCTAAAATACAAAATATGTAACTGAAGTACTAACACAAGACTTAGAACTAGAATCATTCGGGTTTATAGTTCTCGGTCTAATGTTAGTTCTAGTGACAGTGGTAGGTAGTGCTAGTTAGCATAAGATATTACTATGTTGCTATATTACTATTTTTATTGAACTAAAACTAGAACGAGAACTAAAAACATTCGGGGTTAGTAGTGACAAAAACTTTCAGTTGGCAATGTTAACTTTAATTTTTTTATTATATTCGTAATCTTCATAAAATAACCTTTAAAGTGAGTCCAAACTTAACGCATTTATCTCAAAAAAAAACAAAAAGTTCGAACTTTCAACTTTTAATTTTGACATATTTGTCGACTTCATAAAAAATCCTTTAAAATGAGTCCAAACTCGACATATTTGACAGATTTGAGATAAGTGTGTCATCTTTGGACTCATTTTAAAGGTTTATTAATGCAGATGACAAATATGTCAAAATTGACGTTGACATTCTTAACCGAAAGTTGACCATAATTTCATTCATATTGAAGATAAATATGTCGTGTTTGTG